TCCACCATCAGATGTAGAAAGATGTTCCACCATCAGATGTAGAAAGATGTTCCACCATCAGATGAATGTATCTCCACCAACTGGCTCCTCTGGTCTCTGGTTCTGATCCGTGCTGCATCTATTCATTGATCCAGTAGGAAGGATTCTCCTTCAGTCTCTCTGAGGAAACTCTGGCTGCAGCTCACCTGAAACCTCTCTGGATCAGAACCAGGAGGAGGAAGGTTCTGGTGTTTATAGAATCTGGTTCCAGCAAACCAGTAACCTTTGGGGAATTTTTAAACAAAACTAATGAATAAAGCGATTTTGACAAAATGTCGCGACTTGAAGTTCAGACTTTGTTCATGTTGAACAGCCTGAGCCTGGTTCTGACCCGCAAACTAAAACTGGTAGAAACTCAAATTAAAAATATTACTTTAAAATATAAACAAAATGTCAAATAGAAATATATACACATGTTAAAATATATATAGAGAAAAATCAAAATGTCAGAAAATTCTCTCAAAAATGGTTGAACTATGTAAATAAAAATGTTCAAATAACAACAACATGTCCCTTAAAGTATGAAAAACAATGATCATAGGATCATTTTTAAAATAAAAAACAAACTGTTTGGAAAACATCCTAAAAAAATGCAATTCCAGAAAAATGTGACTGAAATGTTTGATAAGATGTTGAACCAACAGCGTCGTGGAGCTTCAACCTGAACTCTGGCCCTCGCCTGGAGGAGCTCACCTGGAGGAGCTCACCTGGAGGAGCTCACCTGGAGGAGCTCACACTCGCTCTGTGTTTGTGAGGACGTCCTGTCACTGTGCTCCTTAACCAGGAAGTCCCTCTGAGATCAGAGGTGTCTTTTACGAGGCAGCAGAGTCGAGGAGCTGATATAAACCAGCCTCATGATACACAAATAAACAAGGAGCAGTAAAACAGTAAAACAGAGCGGCAGCTATTGGAGGACGGCGCCTCTCAGGAGAACAGCTCCTCCCTCGCTGTGCTCTTCACGGCGCTCTTCAGCTCATTACGGCGTGAGCGTTCTTTCCTTGTGAAGCCTGTCTTAGTCCTAAACCTTCAGTCTGAGTTTCTAGACTAAATGAGACACGCCGCTGAAATGAAAGCTTCTCATCCGTCCGTGTGTCCACGTTCTCATGTCAGGACGCCCGTCCATCAGTCTGCCGTCACATTCGCAGACTGTCCACGTTTTGTGAGCGACCCGGTGATGACATCAGAACCTTTCTGGGCGTTTCCAACCCACTCCAGAACCCTGCAGCTCTCTGTAATGACTGAGCTGCAGCCTGACGTTCTGCTATATCTTCTAGAGACGACTGTGTCATCTGCATACCGACGCATGACCCGTCCTCACAAGGATACCACGTTCCACCGAGGCGGTTCCAGTCCTGGTTCGGAGCCAGAGTCTGACTCAGAACCAGTTCTTTGTGTTTCAACCGCCTAAGCACCCGCTCCAGGTTCTCAGAACTGGTGCTTAGTGAGAACCAACTCTTTGCTGGGCCAGAGCTAAGAACCAGTCCGTCAGGTTCTGGGGGCGGGTCTATCGATCCACTGAGACCGATGAATGGGACACACAAGCGGTGATTAGTGTCGCTCTTCCAGGACGTCTTTGGTCCGATCACAGATGTACTGGAATGAGTCCCGGGACACACGGAGGTTCTGCACAAACTGTTGAAACCCGGTCCGACTGTGTCCCACCAGCAGCACCACAGTGGTGGAGAACAGGACTGTTAGAATTTCAGTGTTTAGCTTAGACATGAGGTGTTCTGGTGACAAACGGACCTCAGCTACACCCTGTTTGTTCTGCTCGTAGAAAGGACCGAGAACAGACCACTGGGTTTCATCCTGGACCGATCTGACACCAGAACCTCCTGGTTCACTCTGTTAAAGTCATCTCTGGTCTCACACCGGTCTGAGCACCGCGGCCACCAGCAGCAGCTAGCGCAGCCTGCTATGTGGGGCGTTCAGGGAACATGGTAAACTGTAGCGTCTATGGATAAGAACATGTTCAGCAGGTCATGTGTTCTGCCGGTGACCAGGTGGTGGAGTCAGTCTGAGTCCTGGGTGGACGTCTGAGTGCTGCTCAGGAACAGCCACGTGAGCAGAGACCTGCAGCTCCAGCTGGTCCTGGTTCTAAGGATCTGAACCAGAACCTGGTTCGACCTGGTGGACAAGTGGTGACAGAGAGACACACAGCAACACACACACACAGTAACACACAGTAACACACAGTAACACACACACACACAGCAACACACACACAGTAACACACACACACACAGCAACACACACACAGCAACACACACACACACACACAGTAACACACACACACACACAGCAACACACACACAGCAACACACACATACACANCTTTCTACTGATGGTGGAACATCTTTCTACTGATGGTGGAACATCTTTCTACTGATGGTGGAACATCTTTCTACTGATGGTGGAACATCTTTCTATGGCTACCAGAGTCATTTCAGACTGCTTGTGAGCTTATATTTTTTGGACATCTGAAAACATTTTGGACACCTTTATTGTGATTTCGGACATGATTTTAGTCATTTTGGGTCGTTTCTTTGTCATTTTGGACAAATTTGAGACTTTCTGTGTAAGTCTAAATGAGTTCACGTCAAACTTTGAGACTCTTTTGACCTGTTTTTAATGGACGTTGGACATAATTCACGCGATGCTGATGGACCGTTACCGAGTTAGTCTGGAGACATGTCAGGTCATGTTGATGGGAGACCATTAGCATGGTGAAACATCACCCTCTGCATGATGTCAGCAGCTACATGTCTGCAGCAGCTATTTTCCGGAGTTGATGAACACGTGTTGATTCCAGTTGTTGCTCCTTCTCTCTGGAGTCCTGCTGACAGAATCGTCCCTGAGTTCTCGCTCCTCCTCCATGTGGTTCTGGTTCCTCAGGGCTGCAGGACTTCAGAGTTCAGATGACTCAGGCGTCCTGCTCTGTTTTCTTCCTCTAAACTCTCCCTCCATCTTCGTTTGCTCTCTCCATCGCTTGCTTTGCGGCTGAACCTCGACTCCTCCCTTCATTTTATGAGCCTCTCTGCTTGCCGCCCTTTTGATTTCCTCTCCTCCTCTTTTTCCAGCCCAGGTTCTCCTCCTCCTCCTCCTCCTCCTCCTCTCTGTCGTTAACACATCACTCCTCCTCTTTCCTTCCTGCCTTCTTATGTTTCTTTAACCTCGCATTGTTTCTCCTGTTGGGCGTTCGAGCACAGCCTCTCATTCTCTCTCTCCCTCTCTCCTTCTTCTTCTTCTTCTCTTTCTTTGAAAGTTTCCACTTCTTCTTCTTCTTCCTCCACATTCCTGTATCTGTTGTGTTTCCTCGTTGCCATGGAAACCACAGCAGCCTCTACTTCACCTCCATCTGTCTACGTCTCCTACCAGTGTGTGTGTGTGTGTGTGTGTGTGTGTTATTGTATGCTGTGCTTTTATTATTCTAAGGTATTTATTTTTGTGTATTTATTATTTTCATCGATACACGTTTTTATAAATGAAACAGAAATGCTGTTGCTTTCAGAACAAAGACAAACATGACTGAAGACGAAGGACAGCTAACAAGCATGCTGCTGATTGGACCAGCTAGCGAACATGCTGCTGATTGGACATGAGTTTATTCCAGGAATATAAACATCAGTGATGATGAAGATGAAATCTGAAAGTGTTCAGTTTTAAATCAGTTGTCGACGACCAAACCGTGTTCAGACAGGGTTCTGTGTGTTTGATGGAACCTTCAAGTTCCACCAAATCACGTGTAGTTTGATGACTTCACTCATCACATGGTTCCTCTGGGACGCGCCCAGACGCTCATGTAAAGTCAAACAAATGAGCCGGCTGACCGCAGCCACACCTGTGCAGGTGAGACGCCATGAGCCTGCAGCAGGAAACAGCAGGCGACGCCCCAGAGACGTCCTCTGAGCAGCCAGACAGACAAGTCCACCAGGAAGACAAGTCAGAAACAACCAGAGTCTCCACACGCTGCACACAGTTCACATCCTAAACCCATCCATCATCTCTACACCTTAATCCTCACTATGGGGGNGGAGGATGGACCGGGAGGATGAACCGGGAGGATGAACCGGAGGATGGACCGGGAGGATGCATCCTCTGAGCTCTGGCAGCTTCATGGAGGTTCTTGTGGTTCCATCTGATCTCCTCCACACTCGGTGGATTCATGCTGAATGTGAGTCAATCAATCGGCAGCATCGACGGTAACGTGCACGCTCACGTGAGAGGAGAGACTCTGACCGACGGTCCGGAAGCTGCTAACCAACAAGTCCAAACCACCGAACCGGAATATCACGACTCCAACAGAACAACAAACAAACAAACACGTTCAAGCCGCGTTCAAGTCCAGCTCCTAAAGTTCTGCTGGTTCTGTTTGACATGTTGGTTTCATTTAAGTTCTGCTCCATGAATGTTCTCAGTATGTTTTTTGTTTACATGTGGATCTCCAGGTTCTGATGGTTTGGGCCTGAAAAACACTGGTTCTGTTTTTGGAAAAGAAAAAAACTGTTTTGGTGCGAAAATGTCTGGTTTGACTTTTGAAGGACTTTTTGTACATTTATGTTGTTGTTGTTGTTGTTGTTTACATGTTTAGATGTTTAATGTTCTGGTTCTGATGTTTGTTCTCAAACACTCTAACGCCATAAAACGCCGGTTTCTGTTTATTTACCGGATATTATTTCGGTGAATTGTTCGTTTCTCCGCCGGCCCGGTTCCGGGACGCTGACCTGAGACAGCACAAACCGTTAACTCGGCCCGGAGCGTTACCTCCGCTGGGTTACCGGAGCTACAGGTGTTACCGGAGGATGACTCACCTCTACCGGAGGAAGCGACCGTCTCGTGGAGGCCACGCGCTGCTCCGTTCACACGGCGCCCATGTCCCGGTCCGGTAAACAGAACAGCGACCGAACGAAGGCAGCCGGCGGAGCGGCGGGTCCCGGGTCTGGTCCCGGGTCTGGTCCGGCGCTGGTCCGGCGCTGCTGCGGGCCTGTCGGTACCGGGGCGGCCCGGCGGGGGGAGCAGGGTGGGGGCGCTGCTGCGTCCCGTCCAACAAAAGTTCAAACCCGGTGGAACCGGCCCTCTCCCGGTTCCCGGCGGATCCCTCTGAACTTTTTTCGGGGCTGACGTCACCACCCGGTACCGGCGGCCGTCGGCGGACAGAGGAACACGGTGGACCGGGGCGCAGGAAAGTTGAGGCCCGCCGGCGGGGCGGTGAATCACGGCAGGTCCGGTCGCTGAAACTCGGTGATCCGACGGCGGGTCCGGCGGGCGGCGGCCGCTGCTGCTGCCGAGGGCGGCGGGAGGGGGGGGGGGAGAGGGTCACCGGGGCACCGGCACGGAGCGGGCAGCTTTAACGGAACACCGAGGACAGGAAAGAGCGGAGGGGGAGGACAGGCTGGCCGGTGGCCTGGCCGCGCGGCGGGTGAGTGCGTGTGAGTGCGGGCGCGTCCCCGTGACGGAGCGAAGAGCCACGCCCCTCCCGCTGCGGCGGGTGACCGCGCAGAGCTGCTGCGGAAGGACAGAGGGCTCACTCCGCCCGAGATTCCTGACACCGACCTGGACGTTAACAACAGAACCCTGATTATCAATACACCAATAATAATAATACACCGAAATAACTATAATGTGGATATTAATGCACTAAAATAACAACAACCGTGATACTACGCCCTCTCCACTTTAGGATGAAAACGTTCCTCAGTGATGCTGCTGTAGCTTTAGCCTGCCGGGGGATTCCCATGATGCAATGGGCTCCTCTCTCTTCCTTCCATACAGTTGTAACCACTGTAAGAACTAACTCTGTGCTTGTTCTCTCTGCGGACGTCTCTGGATCCGGACCTTCACGTCTCTGACCTCCAGCTGCTGGCCTCACCGACCCCCAGAATACTTATATTCATATTTATTGTTCTGTTCTATGATCTCCATCTGAGCTATACAAATAAAACTGAATTGAATTGACTATTAATAGGCTGCAGGTGGATCAGTGGTTAGCATCGTGGCCTCACAGCTAGAAGGTCGCCGGTTCGTGTCCCGGTGAGGACACCCGGGATCTTCCTGCGTG